AACCATTTAATGAAGGTTAGCTCTGAGAGAGAGAAAGAGTGTCTTGTTATTCATTAAATTTGGGGAAATCCCGCCTTTGGAGAATTCACTGCGTCTATGAGCATAAAATCCGCCGTCATGCTGTCGCCACCCTCAGCTTTAATATCTCTAACCAAAAGCAGATAAATTTTATTTAATGGCCGGGATTCATGATGGCTGGAGTTATGTGCTTTCAACGCTAAAACCTGTGAAAAGGGGATATAGAGGAGGGAAAAGCCTTATTAGGGTTAGAAGATACAGCGAAAAGCGGTCCCGATCCTAAAGGATAAATACCCTGATTCCAATTAATGAGTGAGAAACCTCAAAGAGGAGAATCTGTAACGATCTTCAACAGAAGGGCTGAAATTGCCGTCTGACTTTAGCAGTCGACCCAAGTTTCAAGTTCTGCAGGAAAGATATCAACAACTAGAGGGACAAAAGTCGTGAAACTTATGGACGAATTTTTTCAAGGAAATGCCTACCGTACCTATCTGGAGATGTCACTGAAGTAAACACGCGGTGCCTCCATCACACTTCCATCTAGGCGGACGGCACTGAAGCAAGATCCAGATGGGGAGGAAAAGTAAACGCGAGACCTGATCCCCAATGAGCTATGCTTGCCCCTGTCCTTTGTTATGTGACTCTGCTTTTATGTCAGCGTGTGATGCCCACTACATTTTCCTTCTCCCAAATACGGTTCTTAAAGAGGACGAAACTTCAGATCCAGTGAAATTGTCAAAAGGGGTCAATACCGCTGCGATCAAGTGTTTTTTCATTTTCTCTCAAATCTAATGACTGGTGTGGGTGGTTTGTGGGTGTCTTCCTTACTGCACTGACTACGCTGTGATGGCCGACGCGTAGGATAGATCGAGGGAAGCACCGGAGATGACGCTCAAGATGGGATAGGGGCTATAAAATACTTTGATCGTTTGTTTAATTATCCATTTTGATTAAGGGGCAGTTAAGGCTCTGCTTTTGTAATTCTGCCCAGTGGCCTAGCCTCTCAGGGCTTTTCTCCGTCGGCAGTACCTAATCTGCCCTATTATTACATCTTTTGTCGCCAGGAAAGTTTCGGACACTACATCTATCCTTCAACGTCTGATTTGAGGTATTTCACATTGTTGACTTGGCAAAATGTCATTGTTTTAAAAATTTCGTCTCTATTAAACAAGTTTTATTAGGAAAAATAATTCAGCTACTTGGTTAGGGAGTAAGAATGGAATGTGAGAGGCCTTTGTGAATACGGGAGGCGAGATTTCATGCCTGATATTTTGGAGGCGGGTGCACTTTTATCCACCTCCACCTGCTAATAATAACTCTTATTACAATAGAATGGGATGAATTGCCTCAAAACAATATTTATTTGGATTTCTTTGGAAAGAAAAATTATAAATTCTACTAGGAGTTGCTCTCTTTAAGTGTAAATTTGACTACCTTCGAGTAATGTTCGCCTCTACCCATTTCCATCTTTTCAGCTTTTCCACATTCGAGTTGGTTACATTTTTTCTTCAATTGACATTGTATTGCACCACAAAACATTTGATGGGAATGCCAACGACACAGCTAGTCGGCAACATGTCAAATTTTACAAAAAGTCTGAAACCTCGACTAGCCAGTGATGGGATGATAAAGTATTTGGTTGTTGATTAAACCATTTTAAGAGTCGGATTGAAAACTTGGGCAAAATTCTAAAAGATGGAAATAACGTAGTTCATTTTTAGTGGTGTCCATGGCCTCATCGAGCTCTAGTTCCTACTAACACCGACAACAACTCCCTTCCTGTCTTCAAAGAGTAATAAATTGTCTACTTAGGGTATGACTTTTAACCAGACTGTTTTATCCCCTTAGAAACATAGTACCTCTGTTATAGAGCAGTAAATTACCTGGTGTAAAATTAACCATACTTTATGCCCTCATTCGAGGGCCTGCTCCCAATTTTTCACCGGAGTGAACAGGACCACCACGAGTGAGCTTATGCACTTATTTGAAAATTTGTAGTTATTTTTCTCCTCCTTTCCCCGCAAAAAATCTGCACTAGGCTCACCTTTTAAAGGTTTTCTCATAGGCTTCTAATTTTAATCCGATTTCTTCGATCTAATGAACATGAATACTCACTTTAGAAAAGGTGATCTAGAAAATTTGAATAGACCAACTTAGGCCGGAAAAAAGGTAAGTGTAAGTCCATAAGTTTCAAATTACCTGGAGATAACTAGAAGAGAAATTAGAGTGATTGTCGAAAGATTTAAATCCCCTACTTACAGTTTTAAAGCACAGAAAAAGTGACCTTATTCTTGCAGAAAATCAATAATTCGCTCCACCTTAACCTTAAGGAAAGAAGCTGATTGGTTGAATTTTAATTGTTACAAGTTCTTTAAATTTACTTGAAATATCTCAAATTAGGGCTGCTAGATGTTATTGTTAGCATATATTGACATAAAATCACCAGCAAACTCCCTATCTTTAACGATTTAGTCTCCACTAGACTAAAAAAGCCCTCAGATCAAATAACTCACTTCCCATAGACACTTTTTTGA